ATGTGTCCTGAACTTCTCGGGTTTGTTCAGGACCGGAAAGCCACGGCCTTTGAGCTTTGGTCCAAGCTGGAAGCGCTCTTCCTCAACAACCAGCGCTCCCGGCAGTTCCATCTCAAGACGGAGCTCTACGCCGTGAAGCAGGACGACTCCATCATCCCGGTCTTCTGCGCCCGGCTCAAGTCTGTCGCGGACGCCCTCCGCAACGTCAACAAGCCCTTCGATGACGATGAGCTGGTGATCCAGCTTCTTCGGGGCGTCAACCGGGCTCGCCACGGGATGACGGCTGCCATCATCGAGAAGTCGACGAACCCCATGCCCTTCGAGCAAGCCGTCGGCATGTTTCTCCACGACGAGATGACCTCCGGCGGTGCCTTCCCGGCCGGTTCCCACACCGCTCTTGCGGCTCACGGCCGTCCCCCGCTCCATCTCCGGGGGGCGCCTCCGGCAGCGTCACCAAGCAGCAGGGCGGCGGTAGCAAGCCCGGCACCCCCTCGCCGAACCAAGGCGCCAACAAGCGGCGGCGCTACACCAACAACGGGGGGTACCAGGGTGCGTCCTCCGGCCCCAATCCCTGGACCGGGCATGTGTACGCCTACCCGATGCCGCTCCCGCCGCCGCCCCAGGCACTCCCGGGCCTCCTCGGCTCGCGCCCTCAGGCGCACGCCGCGTTCGGCAGTCCTCAGCGGCCATTCCAGCCAGCGTACGGGTACACCTACGACGGCCCTCATCTACAGCCTGCACCCATGCCGGCGTTCCCTCCGCAGCAGCAGTACCTTCATCACCACCACCAGCAGCACGCGTACCTTCCGGCCCCACCGCAGCAGCAGTTCCTGCCCCCGCCGCCCGCCTTGATGGGCGCTCTTCACAACCTGTCCCTACAGTCTCCGAGCGGCGGCTGGGTCGCGGACTCCGGCGCCTCCGCTCACATCACCTCGGATCCTCGTAAGCTTTCCTCCGTTGTTCCTCTATCAGGTTATCCCCCAGTTTATGTCGGTAATGGTAGTTCTATGCACATTAGTCACGTTGGTTCTGCTACTCTTCCAAGCCCACATCGGCCTCTCTATCTCAATAACGTCCTTGTTGCACCTGCTCTCATCAAAGATTTATTGTCTGTTCGTCGTTTAACTACTGATAACAATTGTTCCGTTGAATTTGATCCCCATGGCCTCTCTGTGAAGGATTATGCAACCAAGGCGGCGGTCCTCCGGTGCAACAGTAGCGGCGAACTGTACGACATTTTTCCACCGGCTGCACCCACTGCCTACGTCACCACCGTCTCATGCCTTACAGATCTTTGGCACCGGCGTTTGGGTCACCCCGGCGATGCCACTTTTCGTAACAATAAAAATTTAGATCATTGCAATAAAAGTGTCTCTGATGGGCGCTTGTGCCATGCTTGCCAGACTGGAAAACATGTTCGTTTACCTTTCACTTCCTCTCTTAGTTCCACCACTGGTCCATTTGAATTACTCCATTGTGATCCTTGGACTGCCCCTTTGTCTAGTGTTTCTGGCAACAAATATTATCTCTTAGTCATTGATGATTTCTCGTGCTACCGATGGACTTTTCCTCTCAAACAGAAATTCGATGTCCCTGCCGTGTTTTGTTACTTTCATGCATATGTCCGCACGCATTTCGGTCGTACCATCCGTACTCTCCAATGTGACAACAGACGTGAGTTTGACAGTACCCAAAACCGCGACTCTCTACTTCCCCTTGGCACGGTGATGCGCTTCTCCTGCCCTTACACGTCCCCTCAGAACGGGAAAGCCGAGCGTGCCGTTCGTTCGACGAACGATGTGGTCCGCACGCTCTTACTTCAAGCATCCATGCCTCCTCCCTACTGGGCCGATGCTCTCACCACTGCCACCCTCCTTCTCAACCTTCGTCCCACCAAAAAGTTATCCCTCACCACGCCTCACGAAATCCTTCATCACACACCACCCTCTTATTCTCACCTGCGTGTTTTCGGGTGCTTATGCTACCCCAACACCGAGGCCACCGCACCACACAAACTGGCTGCCCGCTCCGTCGCGTGTGTGTTCATCGGCTACCCTCTCGATCACAAGGGCTATCGCTGCCTCGACCGCTCCACCAACAAAGTGTACACATCCCGGCACGTTGTCTTTGATGAGTTTGTTTTCCCCTTTTCTAGCACCCCGACGACCTCCCCACCGATGGACTTTTCCCACCTGGCCTCCTACGACGGCCCAACCCTCTCCTCCGCTCCTGTGATGACACCGTTCGTCGTTAGGACTTCTACCACGACCGCCCCTTCGCCCGGCGACAGCGCTGCCACGACGGCCATCTCGCCCGGCGAAACGGCTGCCGTGGCAGCCGTTTCGCCTGGCGATAACGCTGCCACAGTGGCCGTTTCGCCCGGCGAAAACGCTGCCACGGCAGCCGTCTCGCCCGCCGCATCCGTTGCTACGACACCGGATTCCACCGCCACCCGGACCTCTTCCTCGATCGATAGTAGCCCCTCGTCTTCCTCCTCTGGTAGCACTGCCAACCCCAGACCCCTCCCTTCACGGGCCGTTGCTGTTGCACCGCCTGCTATCCCCCATAACATGCACACTCGTGCCAAATCCGGCTTTCACTTACCCTCACGCCGCCTCAACTTCCTTGCTGATTTTCGTGGTGTCTCGCCACTCCCTCGCACCTACCGGGCTGCTCTTGCTGATCCACACTGGGCCAGCGCCATGAGTGATGAGTACCAAGCTCTTCTTTAGAATGAGACTTGGGCTCTTGTCCCTCGCCCCTCCGGTGTTCCCATCATCAGCGGGAAGTGGGTTTTTAGGCACAAGTATCACTCTGACGGCACGCTTGCTCGCTATAAAGCCCGTTGGGTTGTCCGTGGGTTTTCTCAGACCGAGGGGGTTGATTACGACGAGACCTTCTCTCCCGTCGTCAAACCCAACACTATCCGCGTCGTTCTCTCCCTCGCTACCTCTCACTCCTGGCCCATCCACCAGTTAGATGTCAAGAACACTTTCCTTCATGGTCATCTTGCTGAGACCGTTTACTGCCAGCAGCCCCTCGGGTTCGAAGACCCCATTGCACCTTCTCACGTCTGCCTCCTCAAGAAATCTCTTTACGGCCTTAAGCAGGCTCCGCGCGCCTGGTTTACTCGTTTTGCCGCGTTCGTCGCGTCCATCGGGTTCATTGCCTCTAAATGCGACACCTCTCTCTTCATTTACAAGTCCACAAACCACACCGCCTATCTTCTTCTTTACGTCGACGACATCATTCTTACGGCTTCATCGACCTCATTCCTTCACGACATCATCTCTCTCCGTGGCGAATTCTCTATGACCGACCTCGGTACACTCTCTCATTTTCTTGGCATTGCCGTGACTCACTCACCCACAGGGCTCCATCTTTCTCAACGGCAGTATGCCTTGGATATCATAGAGCATGCTGGCATGGCCGATTGTCATCCCATCCGCACTCCCATCGACTCTGGCGCCAAACTCTCCATCACTAACGGTGATCTCCTCGATAACCCCACTATCTATCGCAGTCTAACCGGCGCCCTCCAGTACATGACTATCACTCGTCCCGACCTGTCCTATGCCGTTCAGCAGGCATGTCTCTTCATGCATGCCCCACGTTCCTCCCACTATAATCTTGTCAAACGCATCATTCGTTATCTTAAAGGCACCCTGGACTATGGCCTCCACATTTATCCATCCTCTCCGTCCACTCTCTTAGCATATTCCGACGCGGATTGGGCGGGCTGCCCCGACACACGACGCTCCACCTCTGGTTTTTGCGTTTTTCTTGAGGATAACTTGATATCTTGGTCGTCGAAGCAACAGCTTACTGTTTCCAGGTCGAGCGCTGAGGCGGAGTATCGGGCTGTTGCCCACGTCGTTGCCGAGACCGCTTGGCTCCGCCAGTTGTTGCAGGAGCTCCACCAGCCTATCGCCAAGTCTACGGTTGTGTATTGTGATAATGTCTCTGCTGTGTACATGTCAGCTAACCCAGTGCAGCATCGACGCACCAAACACATTGAGATTGACATTCACTTCGTCCGTGACAAGGTCTCACTCGGTGAGGTCCGAGTGCTTCATGTCCCTACATCATCTCAGTACGCGGATATCTTCACCAAGGGTCTTCCCATTGCTACATTCGTGCAGTTCCGGACCAGTCTCAACGTTCGGCAAGCCCACGATGAGACTGCGGGGGGCTGTTAGACTGATGATTACCAGCTTGAGCTGGTCTTGCGACAGGAGCGTCGCTGGTCTCGCGCCACGGGCGCCACCGCCTCTGCATGCGCCATGCATGCAGCACAGCCGGTATTATCCGCTGCTGACTCTCCACGAGATTAGGATCGATGGTTAGCTTAGCTAGCGTGTGCGTGTGTATTCTCTCTCCTTCTCTCTCTCTGATGTACTGCTATATATCTTTGTACTCCTGTGTGAGAGATGAATACAATCTGCATTTGAGCTCATACTTATAGTCTAACATGAATAATCCAGTTACATAAAGTAAACTGCAAATGTGCCGGGAGAAGAGGATAGAAGAAACCTGACAAAGGGGAGCACCAGATATCTAAGAATAGGTGTAGAGAAAAAACGGATCTTCTATTTAGTGTCGACTGATTTCCAATTCGACAACAATCAGAATTTTCTTGCAAAAAGAAATATCCTCTTCCATCTTCAATTCTGTTGAGCCCGAGCTGGAGCCAGCAATTACACGGACGCCGTGGCAACGGGCGGGGGTGAGGCAGTTGGCCAATTGGAAATCAGTCAAGACTGCCATATAGACACTCCCAAATAGAATCTAACTGGATTCCCCCCTGGTGTACTGTATCTTACATAATGTTAACCAATAGATCAAATTAGGGCACAAAATGGGGAGAACTGAAAATACAAAAAGAGAAACTACCTTGAATTTTGGCAAGTGCGTCGTACTCACGTCGAGTACTCTCTCTAGTCTCACATGAACAGAACTGCAGAGCACACTGATAATAAAGGGGGTGATGCTGCAGTTCACTATGCCTGATTCCCACCGTTCGCCTCCTCCTGTATCGGAGGAGGATTTGCCGGGGGCTGAGAACTGTCATCATGATGTGAACACAGGAATGCCAGGATTACATGAATTGCAATGTAGGCCAGCACGGCAATGATCAGTGCAACGACATACACAGACGTCTTCCACCCCCTGCTGGAGCCTGCTGCGTAGGCCACCAGGAGAGCGAGCAAATCCAGCACAATCGTCGTGCTCAACACCCTGAGTGTGAGCGACCTTTTCTTCTTGTCCTTCCACTCCAGTAGCAAGATGATGATAACAACAATGGACGCCACGAAGGACGTAGAATTGCTGTAGAAGAAGGCGAGGTACCGGGGCCTCCTGTTGTCATGCATGACCGGGTTGCCTGCGTCGTACCATTCGCTGCTGTGCTGCCAAGCTCCCCCGGGCGGATCTAGGCCGGCTTGGTAGGTGACACTTGGCACAAGGATTCCTAGCAGCATCAGGTATTTTTGCTTGGCATATGTCGTCTTTTTATCGTCCTCACCGTTCTCTGGCTTCAGTTGACTGCTGGTGTTTCTGTTCTTATTCAAGAACAATAGGAACAGTGCAGCTATAACCAAGAGGACCACAACCACCAGTGCGAAGATGTAGATGGATGTTTTCAGATGCTGTGTGCTTCCGGCTGCATAGGCCCCCATCAGGCCGAACATGCCCACCGCCGTGCAAATAGCGAGCGCATAGCTTCGTATGGCTGGCCTGTATAGATGTGGGTTCACCAGCAGTATGATGAGGGCAATGGACAGCATGAAGCTCACCGAGTTGCAGTAGAAAAAGGCGGTGTAGCGGCAGGGAAAGTTGTTTAAGAGGACCGGGTCACCTGCTTGATACCCACCAGACCCATCGTCATGGAGCCGGAAACCGCCTGGAGGTGTCAGCCCGGCTTGGTAAGTGACGGTCGCGGCCAAGACCGCGAATAGGAGCAGCCGCTTGCGCCGCTTTTCCACTATCTCAATTTCCTGCGGGGTTATGGTGTCTGTGTGATCCAACGTGAAGAAGACGAGATGGATCACCACGTAGACCAGGACGCCCCCTGCCAAGGCCATGGCGTAAATGGAGGTGCTTACATCCCGGCAGCTCCCGGCGGCGTACGCACCGATGAGGCCAAACAAGTCCAATACCATGGCTGCCTCCAGCACGTGGGTCTCGAGCAGAAGCTTGTTCTGGACCAGGATGATGGCAACCAAGGATGCCACAAAGGCGACAGAGTTGCAGTAGAAGAAGGCCTTGTACCGCCCATGATTCGTCGTCAGGAGGATCGGGTCCACTACCGGAATCGCCCCCTATGCCGACGGCCAGGGCCGTCGGCATAGGCCTGAGTCCCGTCGGGGCCCCCGTCGGCATAGGACCGTCGGCAACATATGCGTCGGCACAGCCAGGGAGGCCGTCGGCTTAGAAAAGCCGTCGGCATATATGATACGCCGACGGGGGCCGTACATCTATGCCGACGGCCCCGGTCGTCGGCAACTATCACGCCTAACGGCGGCCGCCGTCAAGTCTGCCCAGTGACTGATCGCCACGTGGCACCCCTATGCCGACGGCCTAGCCGTCGGCTTAGTCAAAACCTATGCCGACGGCTAGGCCGTCGGCATAGGGGTGCCATGGGGCGACCAGCCGTTGCTCGTGGACCAGGGCTATGCCGACGGCCGGGACCCGTGCGATGTTTCGGTGGCATAGCTACACCCCGAAGGCCACCCCGAATCCCCCCTCTAACCAGATTCCCTCCATGTCGATCGTTTCCCCCCTCCGTGACACGGCAGCAGTGACGTCCGTGAGGAGGGCAATCGATATACCATCGGGGCATGTTTTTTGTTTAGATAAGGCACATTTATGTTGTGAAAAAATACAAAATAATAAATATATAAACTAAAAATAAAAAAAATAAAGGTATGCCGACGGCAAGGCTGCGCACACGGAGCTACGATCCCACGGATCGATGACATGGCATTACACGCGGATTGATGACGTGGCAGATAGCATGGGCTAGGACTATGCCGACGGCTATGCCGTCGGTATATCTCTGCCACACCACAGGACCTCACTCCCTCGGATCGATGACGTGTCGACGGCGCGGATCGGTGATGTTAGCAATTCTATGCCGACGGCCTGGCCGTCGGCATAGTTATACCGACGGCCGCCGTTATCCCCCGTCGGCGTAGTTTTGACGCCGTCAAACGGTCGTCGCTAATCGGGTAGGTGGGCCCTTTCTATGCCGACGGCCTCTTCTATGCCGACGGTCCCCGTAGGTGTACCGCGAGCTGTCCCGACGGCCGTAATATGCCGAGGGCCCCCGTCGGCATAGATACACATATGCCGACGGTTATTCTACGCCTACGGCCTGCCCTTGGCCGTCGGCATATGTCCATTTATGCCGACGGGCATCGTCGGCATAGATGAGGCCGTCGGCAACTAGATAATTTCTGGTAGTGGTCGCCGGCCATGTGCCCTTGGCCGTTGTCCGGCCAGACTCCACCTGGCGGGTCCAACCCTGCTTGGTACGTGATGGCCGCTGCAAGAGTGGCGAGCAAGAGAACAAGGGAGCTAGCCTTGTCCGCTGCCTTCCTAAAAGTTGCAGAGAAACAGAGGTCAGTTGTAAGCTGGAATGTGCAGAGGAGGAAGAAGAACAAGAAGAAGGTATGTGCTGGCGTGGTACCTGCTATTAATAGCGCGCAGACTTGGAGTCCTTGATACTGCTCGTTGCAACCTCCCTGACACGGATTTATGGAGATCTTTGATTTTGGCCCAGAAGCAGGCATCCCTTATGTCGTCTATGAACTTCCCAACAATGGGCACTTTTTCTTTGAAATAAATGACAGCTTGGAGGAATATAATGAAGGCGAGGACAGCACCAACCAGGCTGATGACATAGATGGTGGTGTCGGTCTCCCTGCAGCTGCCAGCGGTGTACGCGCCGATGAGGCTGATCAGCGCAATGGCGATGCACCCGTAGGCCTCTTTCAAGCGGGGCTTCCTATCCAGAAGCACCACGATGATGAGCAGCGATGCCACGAACGCCATGGCGTTGAAGCACAAGAAGGCCGTCAGGCGCTTGCCGTGGCCGTCCTTGAGGATCGCGTCGCCGGGGCGGTGGCCGCTCTCGGGGTCGTCCCAGAAGCCACCTAGCGTGCTCATCCTGGCTATGTAGGTGACGCTCACCGCAAACGTCGCGAGTAGCATCAGGACCTTGCGGGGTCGTCGTGGGAGTAGAAGTAGTGACCTGAGCAGAAGGAGGCCACCGCCATCTGACCGACAAGGTAGAGGACGACGAGGCCCACCAGCACCAAGGAGTAGATGGTGGTGAGCTTGTCGCGGCAAGTGCCGGCGGTGTAGGACCCCATGACGCTCACCAGGTCCAACACCATGGCTGCCAACAGCGGCCGCATGCTGATCCATTTGTTCCTGTCTCGTAGGAGGGCGAGGAAAAGGACGAGGACGATGGCCACAAGCGATGAGGCGAATGCGGTGGCGTTGCAGTAGTAGAACACCAGGTACCGGCGGTAGCTGGTGGTCCGAATGATGGAGTCGCCAGCGAGGCGGCCCGCGGCATCATCGGTGTCCTGCCAGCACTACCACACTGATCCCCTATGCCGACGGTCCAGGCCGTCGGCATAGCCCTGATACCCGTCGGCATAGGCCTATGCCGACGGGGGGCGCCGGCAACATATGCGTCGGCGTACCCCAGGTCCCCGTCGGCATAGAATGGCCGTCGGCATAGATGCCTATGCCGACGGCGTCTATACATCTATGCCGACGGCCAGGGCCGTCGGCAATGCTTCGCACCTAACGGTGATTGCTGTTGCCGCCGTCAAGTGCTGCCCATACAAGAGACGCCACGTGGCAGGGCTATGCCGACGGCTTAGCCGTAGGCATAGCTTCAAACCTATGCCTACAGCTAAGCCGTAGGCATAGCCCTGCCACATGGCGCATTCTGGTAGCTCCTGGTGCAGGCTATGCCGACGGCTTAGCCGTAGGCGTAGATGCAAAACTATGCCGACGGCTTAGCCGTAGGCATAGATGCAAAACTATGCCGACGGCTTAGCCGTAGGCATACACACCACATGGCAGCTTCTGGTATCACGAGAGCCATCTATGCCTACGGCATTGCCGTCGGCATACTTGCTCACCAGAACGGAAAAAAAAGATTAGCCAAAAAGGCTAGCTATTTACAAATGCTTATACAGACATGATTCAACAACCATGGATTTGCAAACACAGACCATAGAATATTTTTTATGTACATAACATTCCCATTCTAAGACTCCACAACAGCATTAGAGGAGGCCGAGGGGCATTGGTGGGGGAGACAAGGCTGCAACGATGGAGGTGGCATACAGTCAGTATAACAAACCGAAGATCCTACATATGAGGATGAATATGTAATCTATACACTGATTTTACCAAAAGAAACCCGCCTAGAACAGGGGCATCCAACTAAGAAGGCAGAAAATTATTGCCTTTCATGAAGATGCTCCAGTTTTGGTTGTATCTATCAAGCATGAGTTGTTCAAGGCAAGCTCCAAAGAGAAAGAAATTGAGCTCCAAAGAGAAAGAAATTGGTCTCTGATTGTGACTGATGATACTTACTCGTATAAATTTTCAGTCAAAGTAAAACCAAAAAATTGATGCATATAAACTGAACCAGAGTGTGGTTCTGCTGATTCATATGTATATACAGAAGATGCAAGTGTCATTGAGTTGGTTTTAGTCAAAGTAAAAACAAATTGACACATACAAAACTAAATGAAAGTGGTGTTGATTCATGTGCATGTACAGATTGAGGTGCCATCCAGTTGGTTTCAGTCAAAGTTCAACCAAAAAATTGACACATACAAACTGAAGAGAAGTGTGGTGCTGACTCATATGTATATACAGAAGATGCAAGTTTCATCGAGTTGGTTTTAGTCAAAGTAAAAACAAAAGGACACATACAAAACTAAACCAAGGTGGTGTTTGATTCATGTGCATGTACAAATTGAGGTGCCATCCAGTTGGTTTCAGTCAAAGTTCAACCAAAAAAATGACACATACAAACTGAAGAGAAGTGTGGTGCTGATTCATATCTATGTATGTACAGGAGATGCAAGTGCCACCAAGATAGATAGTTTCAGTCAAAGTAAAAAAACAATTGGACACATACAAACTGAAGCAAACCATCATGCTCTTTCATGTGTACATACAAAAGATGCAAGTGCTATCCAGAATTTGGATATAGGTAGTACGCTCATGTGGTGAATTTTGTGAATCTATACTCTGCATCTACCAAAAAGACCGCTCCCCTCACATGCAAATATAATTCAGTCCAATGTCTTTCTTCTCCCCTCACATGCATAAGACAAGAGCAGACCATGTAAACAGGCGGATCAGACCTTCACCTTGGGAGGGAGGCGAGTGCTACCTGTTGCCGTGCCGTCGAGATCGGGTGGTCCTCCTTGAGCAAGACAAGGTTGTTCCTCCCCTACACTCCAATGGCCATCTTCTCCAAGGACATCTACAAGGGCAGAACACACCATTAATGCAAGTGCCACCAAGATAGTTTCAGTCGAAGTTAAAGCAAATGTAAACATGCAAACTGAACCAAACCGAGGTGCATATTCATATGTGTGTGTACGTAGAGATGCAAGTGCCATCTGAATTTTGGGGAACCAAAGCGTGGTTGTTGTTGTTGCTAAACGAGGAGCAAGTTGTTTTAGCAACAGCACATTCTAGTAATTAGCTAGGACCATTATTATTGCACAACCATTCGAGGACGGTGGCAGACACATCAACTCACAAGGCTCTACTGGAGAAACAAAATAATAGGATATGTGATGCTATCAATCTTAGCACAAGAAGAAAAAAACACAGCCACTCCGATAGAATGGATGGATGCACCATGCACAATCATCGGTTCCATCATTGCAGCACTAGTTGAGCAACAAATCAAATATAACAGTAGTTCCATTGGTTCAGCCAACAAGTTAACAAAAGTTTACTTCCCACTACTAATTTTGCGACTTGTCATAATAAAGAAAACAGAGCTTGACATCACAGCAACAAATAAATAGATCAAAGGATCAAATTTAAGTTCATTCAAATTGATGCAGATGTAGCTTGGCAGAAACAAAAAAAGAATATATATAAATAGATCTACGGATATGAACAAAATGGCAAATGTGAAAGAAAATAGCGCAGATAAAATGTTGATTGTTTTGGAAGATCCAAAGGTACATATGATCAATTAATCATAACAGGGAATCTGAACATATTAATGCGAAATAGTAACTGACTATAGCAAATGAAATTGAGATAGAAAAAATTGCTACCTAGAGTCCTTGACTCAACCGAGAGATCTATGGGAACCAAAATTTTACATGCAATTTATCCATGTTCAGGTAATACAAAATATGCAGAGTAATTAAATTGTGTAGTAGATAGCCCATATATAAAACTAAAGGTAGAAACTGGAGTAATGAAACATATCTGGATTGATGTGCAAATGCTATAGCGACTTACATGTTTGGATTTAATAATTATGATGAAGCAGATTAGTGTGATGCATATGCATGTTCGTCAGAACAGATCTAGGGGGAACAACAAAGTAACCTGCACTTCCACTAATTTATTAATCACATGCTTTTTGACTAACCATCCAAAAAATATAGATCAAGGATGATACTGCCAGCCACCTGCGGGGAGTAAGAATGAGTAGTTTCTGCTAATTAGAGGACACACTAAAAAAAGCTAACTAGAGATTTCCTCTCTCTGTGTGTGTACGTTGTGCTCTGGCCGGTGGGGGAATGATAAAAAAAGCAACTACTGCTATGTATGTTAGTTTGTCCATCAGGATAGATCAAACTAGCTACCGGTGAAGGATATATCCAGCTTCGTGACTTAAGAGAACCACAGCTAGGTTGCTTCGGCAAGGAGTGGGTTTGGCTCAGCGTTGCGTCGACTTTCATCACCTTGTACTCCACCTCGCTCATCATCTCCGTTCGAGTTGTAGCAGCAAAATTAACCAATCCCTATTGGTACTATCTAACTAAAGAACCAGGATTCTAAACTCATCTTCTCTCTCTGTTTGGTACTAACTAGACAAATAAATAAATAAAGGACTTGTTCATACAAATCCCTCTAGAATTCCTTCACACAAGAGGATTTGCATCACATATTCCTCTACTTAGCAGCAGCAGTAGTGAGGAGAGGAAGGAGGCGGAGGAGATGGAGGTGCTACCTGCCGAGGTGGGCCGTCATGGCCGTGCTTGAGCTAGGCAGCCCGCCTCCTCGAGCAGGACAGGGCCGCCAGCTAGGTGCGCCAGTAGGAAGGACGGCGCCCTCCTGCCGTCATCGTCGTCCAGACCGCGCGAAGGTGACCTGCAGCAAGGGAAGGAAAGGAGAAGGTGAGGTGAGGAGGGTGGATCCGGGCAAGGAAAGAGGGGAAGGACATACATGCGACACGACGGTAATGGATCCGTCGAGCTCTGGCCTCGCCGTCGCCGGATCTGGCTGATCCTGGCGATGTTAGGGGTGGCGGCCGAAACCCTAGCTAGCCACGGGGACAGTGGAGGGCGGGAGCGCCGATTCTGGACGGAGGGGGAGGTGGAGCGGACCTAGGGGAGCTCGGGGGCGTGCTGCGCGCTGCCGGAGCTCGCCGGAACTGGCCGGCGTGGGTGGTGGCGGCGGCGAGGGAGAGAGACTCGTGGGGGAGAGAGGAGTCGCGAGAGACAGAGAGGTTCGTGGGGAGAGAGCGAGGTAGGGGTTGGGTGGGCTCTTTTTTCTTTTTCTTTTTTCTCCTTTTCTCTAGATGGATGGATGGTCGTGGGGTGGACAGCCAAATGGATAGATGGATGGATATGCGCCACGTCATCAGTCCGTGGCACAAAGTTTCCACCAATAGAAACGAAGCTCATACAATTGTGTTTTCCCTTTGTTTTTCTTCTAATCTTTTCTACCCTCTTGCACCGACTGTCGACGATCCATGAGGGGAGAGGAGGGCGGCGAGGAGGAGATGGTCTGGTGAGGTGGGGAGGGAATGGATCGGG